TGTCACCATCATGACGTGAGGGCGTGTCACCATCATGACGTGAGAGCATGTCACCATCATGCCATTCATTACTAACTTTCTGTTCTAATGAGCTTTAGGTCTGGGGTCGGGACAGACTTCCGGGAGAGTTGGGAAGGCAGCATGGAGAGACCCTCTGTAGGTACACAGGTACAAAATTACTAATTGGCTTTAATTTAGTTTGGTTAGTCATTCCAGGGGTCCCATTTGCCGGTGCCGTAGCCTTACTCAAAAGGGCTCTATTCAAAGCAAAACGTTTCAGACACTGTGCAAGCACAGTCTCTTCCAGGATTGCTCATGTATATGCTGAAACATTTTCACCTGGCCAGTGGCTTCAGGTCCGCCACGGCCTGGCCCTAGTAGGCATTCACCTCGGAGTATCTTTCAGCATAAATATGGCTGGATTCAATGTATGACTAGTAAGCAATGACGGGTTTATTGCACGGGGGGGGGGGGCGGTCTCGCCTAAGACAAGGGGTACGTTTGGACCTAAACACATTCCCGTAGACGGGTTTAGAGATCCTACCCAACGACCGACATGCCTAAGACAGCTGCTAGTCATCATATTTATATATATTTAAGGGGAGACTTGTAGGTACACAAGTTCCCCACTTTTCCCGAGACGCCATGCAGGGCTGTTCTGCTTCCTGGTTCCACTGCATCAGCTTGAGGGTGTAGCATAGAACTGCCCTCTCCTCTTATGTTAATTTCACCTACGGCCCAAGGGTGTAGCTCAGAGAGAACTCTACTGTCATGGTAATTCCACCTGCAAGCAAGGTTCTCGCCCGCAGGCAAGGTTCCCGGGTCAGCTTTTCTCTGAGCCTGAGCACGCCCACCTGGCTTCCTCTTTTCTCTGTTCAGCCGCTCTCCGACCTTGGGTGCGGCCCCCTGACTTTTCTCTTTCCTTGATCCTGATGGGGGGCTGGTGTCCTTTTGCCCCACAGTATATATACCCGACTTATGCTTAATAAAGCTGCCATTTGCCACTTGCTCTTGGCAGATGAGCCGGTCTCTTTGTGTGTGTGTCGTCTGTTCAAACCCCTAGGACATGCGTCCGTTCTCGTGGGCTCGAGTCAGGAAAGCGCGCGCCTGTTTCGAGGTTCGGGTGTCCACAGAAAAGTGCGGAAGCTTACAGATGGCGTCCCTGGGTGGGATCTACCACGAGAAACCCAAAGAGGTAGGGGTTCCCTCCACGATCCGGAATCTGGCCAGTGTTGTGATGTGCGGTTGTGCACGTGTGATAAGGGGGTGAATGAGTTTGATTTTTAGAAGTATGGGTGCCGAAAGGTCTGATCCAGAGCTGAAGGCCAGTGGGCAAATCAGCTGCTAAAATTTGTAATGAGACTAGGTACCAGGATTAAGATGACACTGCACAAGAGACTATTTAGACTATTTTAAAACTCAGTCCCTGACTCTCACAAATTCAGGGAACTTTAATTTTTGCCTAAGAAAACAGGCTGGGTGCAGCTAGCTCCCTGCTAAAATCTGTTCCCAAGGTTACAGGACCCAGCTTAAGCAAGCACGCTAGCAATAGCCGATGGCCATGTAATTGCGGACCTCGGGCTGAGAAAATATTCAAAGGTGTGTCTAACAGTTCTATTAAGAGTTTCTGAGTAACTAAAGGCAAAAGAGCAAAAGAGAGAGAGTTTTGACAAAATAAGAGAGCGCAGCAGCCTTGAGCCCCAAGCCGTAGATGGTGCTGGGTATTACCCGCAGCTAATGAGCTACATGCTAGGCGGAATGTGATCCACCTGCGTGGAGGCCGACAGACCGTACAGGGTCTGTACACAGGACTCCAACAGGCTGTGCAACTGCGGCTGGCAACTCTAGGAGTCCCAGGAAACTGGCGGCCAAGGCGCAAAACGCCGTGGTGGCAAAAGGTGCCTGTCACAAATGGATGGGCTAAGGGCAGGTTTACATCGGAGGCTGTATGTAATGTTATGTGAGGCTCAGAACAGCGCCAACAAAACAAAGGCTGCGCATGCCCATGACTAAGGCTGGGCCAGACACAAATGCCTTTAAGCTGACAGAGGCCACGAGCCTACAGTTTTTTGGCAGACAGTTGCTACCTTTGGGTTAGCTCAGAAAGCGCGCCATAGCTGGGGAGCTGCTTCAGCAGGTTGCCTGTATCCTAGATAACAAAGGCAGACCTATAGCCTGGGACAATGGCAAACAACGTTAAGGCTGCTAGGTCAAGGATTTTCCATCTCAATAGAAAGCTAAGAAATGGGTTAAATCTAGCCGTCAAAGCCACGGGTCTTCATATTGCTTAGTAAATTAAAGGCTTATGTGGTCAAAAAAGGAAAATATACGGTAAAGAGAGATTCTAAGAGGAAGAAAACCTCAAACTGGTTTACAATGTGTTAAAAATATATGCAGGCTAAAAGTTAAAGTTCTTTAGAAAGAGAGTAGTTGGGTGTGGTGGTATACACCTTTAATTCCAATGCCTGGGAGGCAGAGACAGATCTCTGTAAGTTCTAGGTGTTGTAGCACACGCCTTTAATCCCAGCATTGGGGAAGCAGAGACAATGGGACTCTATGAGTTCACGGACAGCCTGGTCTACAGAGTTATTCCAGGACAAGATGTTTTAGGAGCTTATCTACAAAGAATCATAACTTCCCTCTGCTCCTGGAGTTGGATGAGGAAGTTTGAGTGCAGGTGATTATTCCTTGATCCCTGCTGGGGTCAGGTGAGAGTCCCTCCGTGGCTCTCCATTTGGTGCCATGGTAAAAAGCTAGCCCCAGCAGAGCAATAAGCAAGCTGCTGTTTCTCCTCAACTTCATGCTCTATGGATTTCGTTCAACCTGGACACCCTCCGCCGAGACTCGAAGACGAGATCGGACAGATGAGGATCGTGGACTGGGTCATCCTGTTGTGTGACCAGGATGCATTGTGGATTGAGATATAATTAAATAAGGGATAATTAAGGAAATGGGGAATACCCCGGGTAAATCAGAGTTAAAGAGGTTGTTATAAGAAACAGTTGTCTGATTTTAAATCTAATGTTTTCCTTTCTAAAGAAAGGTTGCTTACACATTTTTAGAGGGCTCCAGGCTAGGAGCGGGAGAACTGGTTTTCTAAAATTTTTGGAACAATAGCTCAACTATACCAGATTCAAAACAATCTATTTAGGACCTAAAGAGGCATAGCTAAATTTTGAGATGGTATGTTGCCTAATTTTCTAAATTCCAGACTGTGCCAATTTACATTTCCACCAATCATGGAAAGGTTTCTCTTAAATGTAAATTATGAGCAATGGTTGATCTTGGTCATGTCATTTAAAATAAGATAGTCTCAAAAGTTATTTTGATTCACAATTCTCCAATGATTAAAGGTGTCATGCTTAAGGATTTTTCAAAATGTTTTTCAGTCATTTTTAAGTTTGTCCATTGAGAGTTTTCAGTTTAGATCTGTTACATATATTTTATTTCATTAATTGTTCTTTGGAGGACTGTTTCTGGAGTCCTAATGTTTTCTGTATGGATTGATGACTGACAAAGATTTCCACATCTGTAGCCAGATATGTCGATCCTATTAATTATTTCTCAAATGTTGGCGGGAGGCAATGTGCCCCCATAAAGATAACAATTTTAATAATCCTATCCAGTTATGTAAGTGCTCACATACTGGATCAGATAATTATTTTCTGCCCCTGGAAAAGTTCCAGGCAAAACTAATTCTAAGGATGTTTTGGGGTTCGCTATGCAGCCCAATATTTAGGCCGGTTGCAATGGCACAGGCCAATGAAATTTGCTCTTTGGAGCAGAGACCTGTAGGTCTCTAAGTTCAAGACCAGCCGACGTCAATACTGGCTGAGCTAAGTTTTTGTTCTGAGTATTTTTTACTCCCAATGTGTAACATGGTCCAGTTCATGCATTAATTTGGGGTAGAGGAGCTGTTTGTGTGTTTCCACAGGATGCAAAGCAATCCATTTGGGTCCCTGAACGTCTGGTGCGGACCGTGGATTCCTCTATTCAGAGACCTGAGGACAAGGCGAGATCAAGAGACCCCGCGGTCGCGGCAGAGGCGGCGAGAAAGATGGCAGATTCCTGAGAGATGATCCAGCGCCTGCCTTTGCCCCTTTCCCAGCTTCTTATCTTGCTCTGCCTTGATCTGCCTGTTTAGCCAAGGCTGTTCTACCCCCTGAGGGGAAGCAGCTACTTCCCCTACCCTAGATTGCAGCATTGAGTACTACCCTAGATTGCAGCTGCGGGAACCCTGCAGGTCAGACAGAAATACCATGGACATTCAAATTAATTTAAATTCTCGATTGGATGCTTTTGTTGATCTTTACAAACTGGGTGTGGATTTTGACCTCTGCTGGTCGCTGGTTAAGATTTTGCTGCTTTTCTCGGACCCCGGAATACAAAATTGCTAATTGGCTTTAATTTAGTATGGTTAGTCATTCCAGGGGTCCCATTTGCTGGTGCCGTAGCCTTACTCAAAAGGGCTCTATTCAGAGCAAAACGTTTCAGACACTGTGCAAGCACAGTCTCTTCCAGGATTACTCATGTGTATGCTGGAACATTTTCACCTGGCCAATGGCTTTAGGTCCGCCACGGCCTGGCCCTAGTAGGCATTCACCTCGGAGTATCTTTCAGCATAAATATGGCTGGATTCAATGTATGACTAGTAAGCAATGACGGGTTTATTGCACGGGGGGGGCGGTCTCGCCTAAGACAAGGGGTGCGTTTGGACCTGAACACATTCCCGTAGACGGGTTTAGGGACCTAACCCAACGACCGACATGCCTAAGACAGCTGCTAGTCATCATATTTTATATATATTTAAAGGGAGACTTGTAGGTACACAGGTTCCCCATTTTTCCCGAGGTGCTATGCAGGGCTGTTCTGCTTCCTGGTTCCACTGCAGCAGCTTGAGGGTGTAGCATAGAACTGCCCTCTCCTGTTATGTTAATATCACCTACAGCCCAAGGGTGTAGCTCAGAGAGAACTCTTCTGTCATGGTAATTCCACCTGCAAGCAAGGTTCTCGCCCGCAGGCAAGGTTCCCGGGTCAGCTTTTCTCTGAGCCTGAGCACGCCCACCTGGCTTCCTCTTTTCTCTGTTCAGCTGCTGTCCGACCTTGGGTGCGACCCCCTGACTTTTCTCTTTCCTTGATCCTGATGGGGGGCTGGTGTCTTTTTGCCCCACAGTATATATACCCGACTTATGCTTAATAAATCTGCCATTTGCCACTTGCTCTTTGGCAGATGAGCCGGTCTCTTTGTGTGTGTGTGTCGTCTGTTCAAACCCCTAGGACATGCGTCCGTTCTCGTGGGCTCGAGTCAGGAAAGCGCGCGCCTGTTTCGAGGTTCGGGTGTCCACAGAAAAGTGCGGAAGCTTACAACCCTCTATGGCAGCCGTTCTCAGCCTTCCTAACACGGCAACCCTTTAATCCAGTTCCTCATGTTGTGGTGACCCCAACCATAAGGTTATTTCATTGCTACTAATGTTGCTGTTGTTATGAATCATAATGTAAATATTGATTTGCAGGACATCTGAAATGTAACCTGCAGAGGGACTGTGACCCACAGACTGAGAACCTCTGCTCTATAGTCCATCAGCTTCCCTTAGCCTGAGCGTCTCCTCTAGCTGTATGGAAGCTTCTGAGTGACGTTTGTAGTCCTATTAACTAAACAACAGACTTTAAGGGAATTTCACTGAATTTGACGCTAATGTCCTCTTCTGCTGAGGGTACAAAATTGCACCAACACTGACTTTTACTAGAAGGAGACCAAGGCGGGAAGACAGTGTAGCAGAGGCCAGGTAGCTGAGGACACCAGGGCCCAGATGTCCCCAGGGAAGTGCGACTCACTCACTGGGCCAGTCATCCTGCAGGTGGCGTGCTCGTGACATCCACCGTTGATGCCGTCCGCACAGGGGTCTATCTCTGTGCAGCTGTGGCCGTCTCCCTGGTAGCCCTTCTTGCAGCTGCAGGAGACTTGTGTGCCCTGCTGAGAGCACTTGGCAGCCTTTGCACAGCCCCCGTTGTTCTGTTTGCAGAAATCCACAGCTGCAAGAGAAAGCGTAGAGGTTTCATGTGCCACTGTCTGTGCCGTCAGAGGCCTTGACCTCGTATGTGCGTGTCTCTGGTCTCCCTGACCTGTGAGCTCTCTGCTAGCTTGTATATGACTCTTGTCCTTATGACTCTTGACAGGCTTGTCACATTCTCATAGGACAGCTTTGATAGAGATTTTCAGAATACACTGGGGGTTTTGATGCTAGAACTCTCTCCTCCCTCCCTACCTCACCTCTGTGTGTGTGTCCATGTCCTGGCTAACTTGACACGGCCTAGAATCATTTGAGGGGTTCTCAGTTGATGGGTTGTTCAGATCCAGATCAGACTGACCCATGCCCATCTGTAAGGATCATCTAGATTGATGATGGCTGGAAGAAGGCCCAGCACAGTCCACTGTGGGCGGCGCCATCCCTAGGCAGTGGGCCTGGGCTGTACGAGAAAGCTGACGAGCAGAAGCCCGTGAGGGAGCAACATTCCTCCATGGCTTTTGATTCTGTCCCACTTGAGCTCCTGTCTTGCCTTCCCTCAGTGATAGATTGTGGCTCAAAACGTAAGCCAGATAAATTTTTCCCACCTAAGTTGTCTCTAGTCAGAGTGTTTATCATGGCAGCAGAAAGCAGACTACGACAGTGTGTGTGTGTACATGTATGCATGTATGTATGTATGCTCATGCGTGTGTGCATGTGGTGTGTGTGTACATGTATGCATGTGTGTACGTATGCTCATGCGTGTGTGCATGTGGTGTGTGTGTGGTTTGTGTGCATGTGTGTGTGTGCACGAACGTGTGTGTGTAGGTATACTGTTGCTACAGTAAGGGACACCTTGTGAGACAGACATGTCCAACCCTGAGCTAAGGGCCAGTCTCAGAGAGCTTGCTTGACCTGGCAAGGGTGAATGAGGCAGCGTGTGCAGGGCTAGGAGAAAAACCCAGCTTGGCTAGACCTCACTGTGTTGTGTCTGCTTTCAGGGTCTTTGTTTTCACAACTGCCGAATTTCAACCTGTACTAGTCTGTCGGGAGCTGTGTGAGTAGCTGGGAAGTTGTCGTATTTCTTCTGCTTGCACTTAGGCTCAGAGTCACTGGAGCCACTTGAGACCCTGAGAGCATCATCCTGAGGGCCGGAAGTCTCCTCTTGGCCAGCAGGGTAGAGTGGGGAGCTGGGCTTTCCACTGCCATTGTTGAGTACGGACCCACTTCTGAAATTCCTGCAGGAGACTACGCAAGGGCAGACATGGCAAAATCTACTATTTATAAAGTGCATTCGCTGTGTGAGTCTTTAATCATAGGAAACTTCAGAAACATGTGCCGGAGGCTGTTCACCACCTGCTTCTTTCCCGCTGTAACAGAGCTGAAGGTGGAATGTGCTGTGGCCTGTCTAACAAGATGGTGGCATTTCCCAGCTCTCTGGCAGCTAGATATGACATACGACAGGTGCTAGCCAACAGACTGTCATACAAGGCAGAATAAGCATTCGGTTACTTCGCTTGTGCTCCCTTGGGACTCAGTGTGGCAAGCAAGTCCTGGCCACTGTGGACTGACACTCGGGTGCTGGTGAGACTCAGTGTGCCGAGCACACTCCTGGCCACTGTGGACTGACAGTGTGAATGCTGGTGTGACTCAGTGTGCCAAGCACACTCCTGGCCACTGTGGAGTTTCACTGTGGATGCTGGTGAGACTCAGTGTGCCGAGCACACTCCTGGCCACTGTGGAGTGACGGTGCGGATGCTGGTGTGACTTGGCTGCAGCATGCCTGCCTAGCACTGAAAGGCTCTGGGTCCGTTCCCACTGGCAGGACAACTGGGGTCAGAGAACATGCAGTCTTAACTCTTTCATTCTAATGCTGTAACGGTTTCTGAAGTTCTGAAGCAAGATCGACTACTTATTGAGTTAGAAAAATACTATAAAAGACAGGATACCTTGTTTTGCAAAGCAATTTAAAATTTTAAAATCATGGCTTGGGAGGCAGGCAGGGCAACTGTGAGCCGAGTCCTAAAGGGGACAGGTGTTGTTGCAGAGACCCCAGCAGACAGCAGAAGAGGCGATGGAGCCCAGCGGTGGCCACACTCCGCTCCCCTCCCGTGCTGGCTGCTGGCCCCAAGGATGCAAAGAGGACTCACCTGTGCACGTGATTCCGTCACCTTCATAATTCAGGTTACACACACACGTGTTGTTCTCCATACATGTGGCATGCACAGAACAAGGAGGCATGCAGACTGGAAACACAACTGCAAAGAAAAAGGCCGCCCTGCACCCCATTGTACAGCATCAGTTTCCCCTACACAGTTTTTCCGGGGCTCTTTTCAGACATTTCATAGATGGCGGGAAGATGGGGATGATTAGCTGAGGACCCGTCTACCCTGGAGATTCTGGGCTATGTCTGCCAAGCAGTTCAGATTATAGTGCACAGGTTGCCTTAGAGGCAACTATTTGAACTTCATTCCTCCAAACTTGCAAGCAGGGATGAACCTGCGCAATAGACTCTTTTGCTCTAAGAACCTGGGCTACCAGAGAAGGTTAAATTGGAACAGAAATTTCACTGTCTTCCAAGGGCACCACTGAGCTGGGGGAGACGTGTGGCACGCTGGTGATCGGATGGGGCTGTGGTGCGCACAGGCATCCTGAAGCTGAGGGGTAGGGTGGGTGGGCAGGGTTGGAAGCACACTTGGCCATACTGTTGGAGCTGCTGAAGCCCTCTGACTCCGGGGAGGAGGAAAGGTCATTCATTTAGGCAGAATGATTTGGCCTTCACATCATAGGCTTTTTAGAACACAGAGACTTTGTTTCTTAAAACAAAAAAGATCAAGATGATGATGATGATGATGATGGTGATGGTGATGATGATGATGATGATGACGATGATGATGATGGTGATGATGATGATGAGGGTGATGACCTCAATAATAATGGAAGTGACTGCATTTGACATGGCTGATACAAACACAGGAACTTTAGAGTCACCCTGGCAACCCTTCCCTTGCACAGGGTACAGTATGTTCGAGCAAGGTGAGGATGGGCTGTCCAAGGCCATTCACCAGTACGTAGCAGAATCAGGGCCCACATCCTGGTCTCAGGAGTTCAAAGACTGAGTTGTCCTGAGACCACTTGATTTCTGTCATCACGCACCTGGGCTGAGTCCCACCATAAGGAGTCATTCACACTGTGTGGCTTTTAGATTGGAGTAAAATCTTTTCACCAAGTTTTTTCTGAACCAGCAACCTCCCGAGGTCCAGGCCACAGTTAAAGTCACTGTTTACAGTGAAGTGGGAGCACCCACAGGTAAGGGGGGAGCACCCATAGGTGAAGGGGGAGCACCCACAGGTGAAGGGGAGCACCCGCGGGTGAGGGGAGCACCCACGGGTGAGGGGAGCACCCACGGGTGGAGTGGGAGCACCCACGGGTGAGGGGAGCACCCACGGGTGAGGGAAGCACCCACAGGTGGAAGTGGGAGCACACACAGGTGAAGTGGGAGCACACACACTGGCATTTTCTCAGCTACCACTCAGATTCCAACCTCACTTGCACTCCCTCAAGAGGGTCCCCGGTAGCCAGGGGCTGTGCCTGGCTGGCCACTCCCTCAACAGACCTGAGAGAGTGTCACAGAAGCGGCCTGTCCACCCTGCTTCACAGAAGCACTGTCCAGAGCCGGAGATTCCCTCATCACACTGTCCGTGCTCTGAGCAGCCACAGGCTGTAAGAGAAACCAGAGTGTCTGTAGTTAGTGACCTGCGGCGATGTCTGCTCAGCCCCACTGCCTGCCTGCCTCTGGGTGTAGTCAGTGTGTGTCTTCTGCCATAGTCATCGTATCCCCCAATTCCAAAAATAACAGACCCACAGGCCAGGCTCTGCTACACAATGGGAGCTGAGGGAAGTCACAGCAGATAAGGCCCCTGTTCTCCTAGGGTTTACAGAGGTCTAATCAGCTCCTGAATGTGCGACAATAAATGTCCCACATGCTGTTGTCACAGAAGCAGAGGGCCATGGCAGTCACCCAACAGATGGAAGCAACAGCTTCCTTGGGGGCTTCATGCTTATCTACTTAAAAAAAAATTTAAACCCACGTGCCAGTTCTGCTCACCACCTCAGTATGGCTGTGCCAGCCCAAGTCCTCCCGGGCTGCAGCTGCGTCAGCCTCCCCAGAGGTGGCCCTGTCTCTGCACATGCTCCCTACAGTGTGTAATCCACGGGACAGTTAGAGCCACCCTCTTCAATCTGTTCCCAACAGTTCTTCATTTCCGCCTGGCCTGTCACACTTAGAACAGACGCTGAGTCATGTCCTCTGGTCTAGAGTTTCCTGTGTGCCCTGGCTCCAGGTGACTCTCAGGCTTTGTCTCCTCCTGCCCTTCCCCTTCCCCGCCTACTCTTACTCTTTCTCACAGGCAGGCCCACTGGACCCCTGCATTGGCTTCCCTCCGGGAAAGCCGCTCTGACTTGCGTGTGAGTCCAGTGGCCCCCTGTGACACAGGCCACTTCAGTGTTAGCTGACTAGGATGAGAACTGGAGTTCCTTCTCACAGACTGAGTGCTCAGGGCCCTGGGCGGTGAGTGAAGACCCAGCATCTCCGGCAGCTGCCTCTGCCTGCTCTTGATGGTCCTGGGAGCTCACAGTCTCTGTGTGAGTGTCTTGTGCTCGGATCTGTCACCTGCTCACACACCTACTCAGCTTGATGACTGCTTTTGTTTCTCTGCACTCGTTGACTCTCTACACCCCTCTCACCTCTGTACCTCTGAATTTCAGGACAATCCCAAGCTGGCAAGTGCATCGCTAATCTCTTCCCCTTAGTTTCTTCATCAACATCAGTTCCTACCTCAAAGGTTGCACTAAGGACTAAATGCAAAACTGCATATGCCTGGCACTTGATAAATTCCCATAGTCACCACGAGTGTAGAATAACTCAGTGAGTGGGTGAAATGGATGAGGACAGGGAACATACAGCTACCAACAGGCTAACACAGCAAGTGGCCACATACGCTGACAGTCTGGCCCAAATCTCCCCGGCCAGCACAGCTCACAGGCTGTCCCGTTGAAACCGGTGTTGCACTGGCACTGTCCTGTGGTCGAGTACAGATCATGGCAGACACCGTGGTTATTACACGGTGTATCCGGTCCTCCGGGGCAGGCTGGAAGAAAATGAGAGAGCGGTGACTACACAGCCTCCTGGTCCAGGGCAGTGCAGCACTGCCGTAAACACACTGTCAGTACTGACATCTTCTCGTGGTCCTGGGGGTCAGTCCACACACAGGGCAAGCCACTGGCTTCTGGGACCTGAGTCTCATGCGTCTGATCTGATTCTGCCTTGGCAGGGTCATGGGATGAACAGCATGCTGTAATGGGAGTCAGGAGACCTGGCTTTGAGTAGATCTGGGCTAAGTCATGAACCCACTCTGAGCCTTAGTGTTTTGTAACTCTGAATGATGGTGGTGATGGTGCCAATGACAGTGATACCTTGTAGCTTGCCCTATATTCTGAGAGGATCAGATGGCAACATAATCCACCATATAAACAAACTGAAAATAAAAACCACACGATCATTTCATTAGTGCTGAAAAAACTTTCGACAAAATACAACATCCCTTTGTGATAAAGGTCTTGGAGAGAGCAGGGATACAAGGAACCTACATAAATATAAAAAAGGCAATATACAGCAAGCCAACAGCCAACATCAAACTAAATGGAGAGAAACTCACAAGACAAGGTTGTCACTTTCTCCATATCTATTCAATAGAGTTCTTGAGGTCCTAGCTAGAGCAATAAGACAACAAAAGGAGATCAAGGGGATACAAATCGGAAAAGAAGAAGTCAAACTCTCACTGTTTGCTGATGATATGATAGTTTGCATAAGGGACCCCCAAAATTCTACCAAGGAACTTCTATAACTCATAAACACTTTCAGTAATGCAGCAGGATACAAGAGTAACTAAAAAAAAATCAGTAGCCCTCCTGTACCCAGATGATAAATGGGATGAGAAAGAAACCAGCCTTCAGAATGGGAAAAGATCTCCACCAACTCCACATCAGACACAGAACTGATCTCCAAAATACATAAAGAACTCAAGAAATTGGTCATCAAAAGAACAAATAATCTAATAAAAAAATGGAGTACAAACCTAAACATAAAGCTCTCTACAGAGGAATCTAAAATGACTGAAAGACACTTAAGGAAATGCTCAACATCCTTAGTCATCAGAGAAATGCAAATCAAAACAACTCTGAGATTCCATCTTATACTTGTAAGAATGGCCAAGATAAAAAACACTGATGACAACTTATGCTGGAGAGGTTGTGGGGTAAAGGGAACACTCCTGCATTGCTGGTGGGAATGAAAGCTGGCACAGCCATTTTGGATGTCAGTAAGGCGATTTCTCAGAAAATTAGGAAACAACCTTCCTCAAGACCCAGGAATACCACTTTTGGGTATATACCCAAAGGATGCTCAATCATACCAAAAGGACATGTGCTCAACAATGTTCATAGCAGCATTGTTTGTCATAGCTAGAACCTGGAAACAACCTAAATGCCCCTCAACCAAAGAATGGATTAGGAAAATGTGATACATTTACACAATGGAGTACTACACAGCAGAAAAAATGACATCTTGAAATTTGCACCCAAATGGAGCTAGAAAACATCATATTGAGTGAGGTAACCCAGACACAGAAAGACAAATATCATATGTACTCATTCATAAGTGGTTTTTAGACACAAAACAAAGAAAACCAGCCCACAAATCACATTCCCAGAGAACCTAGACAACAATGAGAACCCGAAGAGAGACGTACACAGACCTAATCTATATGGGAAGTAGAAAAAGACAAGATCTCCTGAGTAAATTGGGAGTATGGGGACCATGGGAGATGGTTGAAGGGGAGGAGAGAAGAAGAGGGGAGCAGAGAAATATGTATTGCTCAATAAAATCAATAAAAAAAAAGAAAAAAGAGAATTCTACCAATTGAGATGCAGCTCTGACATCTGAGAGTCTTAAAAATTTTCAGGGGTAAATATATTTAAATTTTCTAATGGTCTTTTTAAAATATATATTATTTATTTTTATTTATGTGTATGTGTATATGTTTGTTTACATATACCACATGCATGCAAAGACTTGAGGAAACCAGAAAATGATGCTGTATCCCCTGGACCTGTAGTTACAGGCAGTTGTAAGGTGCCTGATATGTATGATGGTGTGGGAGGTCCTTCTGTCTGTGTGTTGCTTTTATTGGTTAGTGAATAAAAAAAGTGCCTTGGCCTGTTGATAGGGCAGAACTTAGGTAGGTGGGGAAAACTAAATGGCATGCTGGGAGAAAGGAGGCAGAGCCAGAGAGAAGCCATGGAGCTGCTAGAGACAGACGCTGGGAACTTAGCTGGTAAGTCACAGCCACATGGCAATATACAGAATAATAGAGACGGGTTAGGTTAGGGTATGAGTTTAACCAGAAATACACTTAAGCTATTGGCCAAACAGTATAGCAAATCATATGGTTTTCTGAGTGGTTATTTCATGTCTAGGTGGCTGGGATGAACAAGCGGCCCTTCCCCCAGCAGGATGTTGGAAAAGGAACCCAGTTCTTTGCCAAAGCAGTAAGTGCTCTTCTTTGTTTGTTTGTTTTTTGTTTCTCCAGAGAGGGTTTCTCTGTGCAGCCCTGGCTGTCTTTGAACTCGCTCTGTAGACCAGGCTGGCATTGGACTCACAGAGATCTGCCTGCCTCTGCCTCCTGAGTGCTGGGATTAAAGGCGTGCACCACCACCACACAGGGCCTAAAGGTCTTTTAGTAGTGCTTTACATCTCAGTGATCCAGGCTGGGAGCTGGGTGACTGGATTCAGCCCAGTTCATTCCTATAGCGTCTATAGGATGTCTACAGTATAGAACATGAGTGGGGTGCACATGGCAGGAAGAACATCACGGCTACTGGAGTCTGGGACCTTGGGCTTGCTTAATTCCTGAGCTTCTATTTCTCATCCATTAAAGGAGCTGGCATCAGTGTCGCTATGGAGTCTCTGGTACATGTGAGCATTTAACCGTGTTCCTACCTACAGCAAAGCCCAGCAGGTGGGGTGAGCCTTGTGGGCTTCATTAAGGCTTCATTAAGGCTTCATTAAGCATTGCTGCTGATGGATCCGTCACTACAAGTTCTATCAAGGTTTCCAAACTGAGAACAAACCCCCTTTGACAACGAGACACCCTGTAACTGCGGACTTAGAGGAGATCATGACCCACAAATCCCTGTTAGTACATCACTGTTTAAAGATAGGATCATGTCAAAGCCCTTATACAGACATTCTTCCCAACATAAGAACATTGCATAGAAACCAGCAACAGATACTATGGCATGCATTTTAAATCACCAGGGAAGGTGTCAGTATTCTAATTTTACTGCTTTTATCACTTATTTATTATTATTTCTGCAATACCAGAAATTAAACCCTATACACGCTGGCATATGCTCTACTAGGGACCTGCTTCCCAAGCCGCCTTTTTATTTTGAGACAGGATATAGGTTGCTCAGGCGGCCCTTGCATGTACTCTGCCGTTCAGGCTGGCCCTGGACTTGTGGTCCCCCTGCTTCAGGCTCCTGCCCAGCTCTGGTTTCAGGCTGTGCTGTCAGACCCAGCTGAGGTCTGGTTTTCATCATTAAAGTGGATGTAGAGTAGGATCCCAGTAAAACACAAAATACAAAGATGGCGGGAGAGGGCTGGGCCTGGGAAGTGTGAGGGTGGCGTTTCCCTACCCACCCTAGAACTTGGGCACCTTCAAAAGCACAGCCTGCCCGTGCCCCTTTAGAAGGGCAAGGAGAAGGGGTGTTCTCACCCTGACAGTGTGGCAGGAAGTAACCCTTGCAGCACCTGGGGAGCCGGATGACCAGGGTGCACAGCTGCCGGCAGCCTTCCCTGTTTCTCTCGAAAGGCAGTGGCTTGTAGAAACACTTCTGCTTCACACCCTAGAGGGAGAGGAGAGATGTGCAGTTGCTGCCTTCCTCTCCCAGGTTGGGCTCCAGCGCCCCCTGTGGGGAGGATCTTGGCACTACCTAGATTGAAAGTGGGATTTTCAAGGCAGGCCAAGAGTGAAGGGAGGGGGCAGAATAGGGGCCCTGAACAGAGTTTCTCACCCTTGGAGCTGTTTGAAAATGGAATGATTGCTTGGAGATGACGTGGAGAGCAGATTCGTATCAACACATTCTCAACAAGGGGGGAGTGAGATTCACTTTGTGTGTGTGTATGCATGTATGTGACATGTGTATATGTGTGTGTCTGCATGTGACATGTGTATGTGTGTGTCTGTGTGTGTGTGCTGTGTGTGTATATGTGTGTGTCTGCATGTGACGTGTATATGTGTGTCTGTGTGTGTGCTGTGTGTGTATATGTGTGTGTGTCTGCATGTGACATGTGTATATGTGTGTCTGTGTGTGTGCTGTGTGTGTGTGACGTGTGTATATGTGTGTATGTATGTATATGTGGTGTATTATATGTGTAGGGAAGAGGTTGATGTGGGCTTCCTTTTTACTGTCTTCCATCTTAAGTTTTGGAATGGGTTCTCTCACTGAACCTAGAGCTCATTGACTCAATGGTCGTACACTGAGTTCTGGGGACCCTCCTGCCTCCATTTCCTGTACTGGGATTACAGGTACCAGCTCATGCTTCTGGCTTTTTATGTGAGTGCTGGAGATTTGAACTCAGGTCCTCAAGCTTCGTAACCAAGTACTGTATTGACTGTGTCTTTCTGCAACTGTGAAGACCTGTTTTTGTAGGTGCTTTCCTAGTGGGAAGGCCTTGACCACTGCGTGTGCTTATGAGGACTAAACTCAAGCTCTGATCTAGAATAAGTGATAAAGATAACGCTTCACGAGCACGCACTCCGTGCAACCACTTAGCTGTGCCTCTACTTGAAACTGGTGTTTTCCTAGTACTACACAGAGACTTGCCAGTTCACTTTGTTCTATGGAGACAATATCGGTAGGCCATGTAACTTGGCAGGGACTGCCGGAATCTGTCCCCCTGGCCCCATGCCCACGGACTCCATAATGATGCTCTTAGCTGCTACCCCACGTGGCTTTCTGGCCTTTAGTCCTAGCTTTGCTTCTCTGTGTGGCCAGGGCCTGGATGCCCTCATTCTCTGGAACTCATTCTCTCATCCTGCACACATCTCCAGCACAAACAGCTACAATATTCACTATTTCTACAAATTCCAACAATCTTCTTCTCTTCTAAGTATATGTAATTCCATTTTTCAAGAGAGTTCATAAAAGATGGGCAGGGAAATGACAGGCTACCTGTCACATCACCGGAAACACACTCGTAGACCCCGACACACATCCCTCCCCCACCAGAAGACAGAGGTCTGAAGACGAGACACGCAGTCTATGGCCACACCACCCCGGATGAGTCTGTTCCTGTCTGAAGCGGACATCCCCACGGACCTCCAGATGTCATGACTCATAATTACCTTTGGTTTGCTCCACGACGGGCATCTGGGGGTAGAGACACAGCTCCCACAGTCCCCCTGGTGTGCAAGATGAGAAACTTTAATACCAAGGGTATTGGTGACCACGAGGAAATGTCCCTGGCTAACGTCTGGGTGAGAACTTAACCTGGGCTTGGGAACAGTTTAGCTGGCAAAGTACCTGCTGCACAAGCAGGAGGACCTGAGCTCGGTTCCCAGGGATCATTTATACAGCCAGACCTGGTGGCGCATGCTTGTAGTGACGGCACTGGGAGCTTGCTGGCTGGTCGGCCAGCCTAGCTCCATCAGTGAGAGACCTTGCCTCAAGAAACAAGGCGGATAATGTCTGAGGACTCTAATGTTGGCCTCTGGCTTTCACATGCAGCTGCAGATGCACAGAAATACATGTGCACATGCATGCACACTAACACACACGACACACCTTCATCTTGATTAAGACATAGCTACAATAAGATTATACAGAGACACACACTTCACTTAGCCCTGGAGAATTCTGAAGGTCTGTCTTAGATGCCCGTTTGAAAGAAGTCCACTTATGTACAGGGCTGGGCCAGGCAGTACGGTGTGGGCAGACTGTAGCAGTGGGGGTGGGGGTGCAGACAATTGCATTTTAAGTCAGCAGCGAGACCTTTGACCAATCACTGATCCATTCTGAACTTTATAGAAGTTCTATACTTGCTGCCTTTTGACCTTTGGGGAATTGGCAAAAGAAACGAATTAGCTGGAAGAAAGTGTACTGATACACTTGAGGAATTAAGACGGTTACAGCTCCTAAAACAGGAAGGAAAACTTCATTTATCTCCTGTCTAGGCAGACTCCTCAAATTGTGGGGCATTTATTAAATTGTCTAAGCGATGTCAGACACTGTCACTGAGCAGTGACAGCCCTGCTGTGGAGTCATGTTGCCTCAGTTTCCACGTCTGTATGGGGAGTTGATAGTGACTACTCTCGGTACCCAGCACAGCAGCTCGGGGCCACTGGCTGGATGACTGAAGGCAAACGCATGTTGTGTGGTGGACGCCCACGGCAGGGGCCCACGGCAGGGGCCCACGACAGGGGCCCACGACACGGGCTCATTCAGCGCTGTAGGTGTGCGGGGCCCATGTTATAGGTAAGACTGAACCGTGTTGGTTAATGGAGGTGTACAGGGCTCATATTATACGTAAGGCTGAATCATGTTGGTTAATGGAGGTGTACAGGGCCTATATTATATATTAGGTTGAACCATGTTGGTTAATTGCCAAGTATGCCAGTGATATATGACATAACCTGGCAGGAATTTAAAAAGATGTATGCTGAATGAATACGTGGTGGATGTGTCTGAAAACGAATGCTACACTAGAAGGCTCACGTCTGGCATTCCAGCACTGTCTCCTCAGTGATGAAGCCATCATGGGTGGACGGTGTGAAGGGAAGCAAGATTATTGAAGGCCAAAAACTGGCTGAGCAGACGCTGGCTGATTCCTGGTGGCATTTGAAGAATGTCACCAATTGGCCCTTGGATGTTCTGGGACCTGGTCTCATCATAACCCTCCTTGGAGCCACACAGGATCTCCAGGGCTGGTCTCTGGCCCAAGGTTCTTTCTCGATTTTGGTAACTTTAGAACTGACCGAAACATTGAAGGTGGTAAAAGTGTCACACCGGCCACCCAGGGTGGGATTCGTTAGCAGGCAGTCGATGCCATAGGCCACGCCCAGGTCAAACAAGAGTCCTCGCTGGATGATCCTGCACATTTGTTCGTTTAGAAAGAGCTCGCCCTGAGAGAGAGAGAGAGAGAGAGAGAGAGAGAGATCAACAATCCCTTCAAACTTCTCTTCTTCCCACAGTAAATAACGTGGCCAGCTCCTATAAGGCTCAGAAAGAATCAAAATAAAGAATCAAAATAAATAAGCAAACATGCAGGGGGTTTCCTGCACCTGTCATGAGGGGCTGGAATGCCAGGGTGAACCAGGTGTTTCATAGCCACCCCTAAAGACAGTGAGCGAAAAAGAAGTTGCTGACAATGGAAAACCCAACCCCCCCGCCCCAAACACATCCCGAGACACCCAAATGCCTCTCAAATGGGAACGGTTGGGGAACAGCTTTCAGGCCTCCTGATCCCCCCACTCCATGACACTCACGACGTCACGGCCGGTTCCACATGTTACACTCAGCTCTGAACCTTGCAGTGTCTTCCAGGAGGCAGACCTGGGCAGGTCTGAAGCCAAAGCCTGAGGAAGAGAGGCAGCCATGTTAATACCCGCACTGGGCCTGAAGGGAACACGGCCAGCAAACCAAGTTCCAGGGGAAGATTTCCTGTTGTAACAATTCCGCTGAAGCGCAGTAGCGAATGCAGTCAGAGGTTAGGGCAACTCTGGCTTCCTAAAGGCTGGAAGTTCCTTTTTGTCAGCAGGGCATCTGTGATTGGGCAGCCTGGAAGAGGCTCTCCCGACACGTGGAGCCAATGAAAGGCGTCTCCAGGACAGCTGACTAGTTCTCAGGGCTGACAGCTGATAGCATTAGGATGAGCCAAAAGTTTGTTTAGGAATGCTGGAATCAGGAGTGGCAGGGAACACCTGGAGAAGCTCGAGGGGACCTTTGCCAGTGGCCATTCCGCCCTGTGAAATGGACCAGTGTGAAGAGAGCACACTGTTCAAGAGGGCAGCGGAGCTGAAGCTTCCTCCTCCCCATGGAGGACCTGTGGCCGTGGGCCTCCCTACTAGACTGCGTGACTGTATCTCTCCTGGGACATTTAAGAAACTACCCTGGAGTCCCGGATCACGTGGAACTTCAGATACTCCTTCAGCTTGTCATTGTTGTCTTGATCGAACAGGAAGTCCCGCTGCTCTGGGGGTAGGGCTTGGAGGGCTTTGTCCGTGGGCAGGAAGACAGTGACTGGGGTGTGGATGGGGTCAGAGATGACGCTCAGCAAGCCGGAGTCCTGAAACAGAGATGCTGTATTCCTTACTGTGCATGTGCTGTGTCTCTCCATGACCTGGACTGCGGCTTGTCAGAATCTAAATGCCCCAGAGCGACACAGCCAGGAGCTAGAGCGCTGCACCCCAACCACTCTGAACCCCATTTCCTTAAAAAGCAACTCAGGGAGTCAGGTTCTAAGCTTTTGTTAGTAGGAAAATAAACTACACTATCTTATTTTCGATACTACTTCTGTCCAAATATTTTATCTTCTCATGACTAGTTTTTATTTTTCTCACATTTCATTAAAAATCCTACACAATATTGAGACATGTACGTTTGCCTATATAATTTTTAGATAAAATGTACCCCAAAGAAATGCCAAGATGAACAGGAGAAATCATTTTGAGAGCCTTATGTGGTATGGGAACATCACATATATTAATTTTCCCCTGTGAAGTAGGCTTTATGACCTCTGTCGAGCCCTTGATAGGCTTGTTAGTTTGCTCTAACACCGCCCAACCAGACCCTGCTGAGCAGGTAGAGGGTGACTATAGAGTTCTGGGGGTGACTAGGGGGACTACTCAGTTGCAACATTCTTGGATAGTCTCATTTAAAAGATACTACATTTATTTATTTACTGGAAGGTATGTGCAGAGGTCAGAGGGCAGCTTTATAGGAGCTGGTTCTTTCCTTCTATAATATGAAGAAAATTCTCAGGATTTTCATTTTGAACATGTTGAACCCCCATTTCTAATCAGCTCCCTAGAGAATCTGACATTCAGATCTTTTAGGGAATTGAGGACCTAATGTAGAGAATATAGACTGTGCTTTGTGGGGAACCAAGGTTCTTGGAGCTCTTTGAGGACTGGTCAGTATGGAACACCTCTCACCGATATAAACACAAGCAGACCTAGCAAACCAGAGTTTCAGATGCGCTGTCCCCAAGTGCTCTTTCCCCTTAGAGTTTTACCTGTATTAACTTGCTGAATCTGGTGTAGCCATGGCTCATTGCCACTGTAGTAAGATTCTGCTGCAAAGATAAGGAAGGACATAAAACCTCTCATCTTCCAAGTGCGTCCAACCGTTTGACATTGAGACATGACATTGCTGTCTACAAAGTTCATCCTTGAGGACTGTGCAGGGAGAACGAGCACCACCTCTGCTATGACTGGAGGACGGTGCCTTCCTGAGGTGGCGCTCTCACTCAGGAGATAGAGATACAAAAACAGGTCTAATACCCTAAGAAAGTTCGTTACTTTGTATTGGGCCACATTTATGGCTACCTTGAGACACATCTGTAGGGTAGACATGCTCCCTCTGGAGAGTTTACCAAGTGCTGTAAGAACCCAACTGCATACATCAGTGGTCACAGCAGGGCCGGGCTCTCCACTGGCTTATTAGCAACCACAGCGGTTTTCTCCTGCCCATGCGTTTCTGCACTGCAGGGGCTGGAAAGCTGGATGCAACATTTTCCAGAGCAGCTACAAGCCCACAGGCACCGTAGGGTCAACTAAACCGGAGCACCATGGAGATCTGTTGCTGGAAAGGAACAGTGTGAGGTGCAGCCAACAGGATACCAGGCCCCCCAAAGTCCAGAGGGGTCGGTGTGAGCAGTTTAGTCTCTGGTCCCCTGAGGACCAGGCTGGAGAGGGGAAATCTGAAGAGCTGTAACAGGCAGAATGACCCTAGGGTAAGGCTAGAGGTCGTTTGTTTTAGAATTTTCTAGTTTGCTTTGCTTCCACCTGTGCAGCAATTGAAATTAGACTATGGCCTCCAAAAGATTTATTCATATACACAATATCTTAAGGAACTCCTCTTTGTAAGTGAGGTTTAGTGGATTATGACACCTGCAATGAAGGAGAGCGGCCAATACTGATAATTGAAACAAACTGGACTAGGCCTGGTGCCTGAGGCCTGTAATAGTAGGTGCTTGGGAGGCTAAGGCAGAAGAATAAAAAGTTTGAGACCTATCTGGGCTGCAGAGTGAGTTTAAGACTATCTTAACCAAATTAGTAAGACCTTGTCTCAAAATAAAAAATAAAAAAAGGCTGATTTTGTACTTCAGGGAGAAGGCATTTGCCTACCATGTACAAACCCTAGATTCAACTCAGTACCAAAAAAAAAAAAAAAAAAGAAAAGAGAAAAGCAAATAAATAAATAAATAAATAGTTAAAATTGTTCTTTCTGTCCACCAAAAAGTTTTATTCCAGGCTTAGCTTTAGGGATATCTAATTATCCATGCATTCCCTTCCCTCTTCCCCTCCCATTCCTCCCTTTTCCTTCCCCAAATCTATATAAAACCATCTTTCCTTATGGACACTAAAGGAAACATAAAATGAATTATTTTAAAAACATTGTCAGGAGATGGTGTAGGAGTTCCTTCTGTTTGTGTGTTGTTTTCATTGGGTAATGAATAAAGAAACTGCCTTGGCCTAGTTGATAGGACAGAACTTAGGTAGGCAGAGAAGACAGAACTGAATGCTGGGAAGAAGGGCAGAGTGGCAGATGCCATGGATCTCCTGCCTGAGATGGACACTGGTTAGAATCTTGCTGGTAAGCCATGTGGCAATACCCAGATTAATAGAAATGGGCTAAATTAAGATGTAAGAATTAGCCAACAAGAAGTTAGAGCTAATGGGCCAGGCAGTGTTTAAATGAATACAGTTTCTATATGATTATTTCGGGTGTAAGCTAGCCGGGCGGTCTGGACGACAAGCAGCCTGCTCCTCCTGTTACAAGGAGATAGGGTTTTACTATATTGGCAAGGCTGGCATGGAACTCCTGGGCTCAAATGGTCCTCCTACTCAAAGCTGCCAAGTAGCTGGTACTGTGGCACACACCACTGCCCCCAGCTAGAATCCATCTACTGACTTCAGTGACCTTGGCTGGACGTAACAGGACGACGGTGCTCCCAAGCCATGCCTCCAACCAGAGCTGAGCTGACAACACCGGCATCGCCTGCTGGAGGGTCACGGTGGGGTACCTACCAGAACCCTGCCTGAAGCATCTTTGGGGGTGATGATCAAGTTCTGGGGAGACAGCAATCTGTCTATGATGTGGATGACGCCATTGGTGCTGATGATGTCACTGGACAGGACCTTCGCCTTGTTGTTTATGTACACGGTACCCTGAAGCCCAACGAAAACAGCGAACACATGAGAGCCTGCACAGACTCCTTCCCCACAGAGCCAGCACTCGTCATCAGGGGCAGAGTCTGATGGTTCATGCGCGGTAAGCACGTATTTATTACGGTTCTAGGAGGACAACAGAGGCGAGGATGCAGTCTTCACCCGTGAGGGTAACAGTAGATAATGTATAGTCAGCCAGTCTGGCTAGCTGCTCACTTCAGCAGAATTCTGAAAGCTCCCAGAATACACAGCCCACACCGGTGTGTCCTTGGCCTCACCCATCCTCCACTCTGTCTGGAGTTGTCTGGCCTCTGAGCCCGAATTCCAATTCAACTTTTTTTTTTTTTTTTTTTTTTTTTGCTATGTGACTTTGAACAAGCTACTTAACCTTTTTGAGTTCAGGTTCCGTATTTGGAAATTGGGGACAATGGTGCTATTCACGTCATGGGGCTGCTGGGCTGCCCAAACGGTGCATGCAAAGTTCTCAGCACCGCCTTACGCAGAAATCACTCAGCAGTTGGCTATTATCGCTGCTGCTGTCACTTGGGAGGGGAAGTCGGCCGTCTGGGGGATGAGGACAGCACCTTCCTGAAGTGGCTGCTCTTACCTGAGAGACAGAGATGGAAATCCGCTCGCCTTGGAGGGTCACGGCACTCGTGGTCACTTTGAGGTTTTCCAGCAGCAGCTGTTGGCAGGCAACCACGTGGTACCGGAGAACCTGGGACATGAGGCCCTGTGCATCCCAGTCTTTAATCTGGAAAAGAGGCCAGGGAGGTTGGTCAGCGGCAGGAGCCTGCTGCTAGAACCTTCTTTCTGCTCTCCTATTTCCCACACTCTGAGGAGCTAGTGTCGAGTTAGGCAAGGGGGTGAGAACTGTAGGTGGGAGGGGCCTCGAGGGGCCTCTGAGCCAGCCTGTTAGTCACAGAACTGCTTGAAGGACACCAGTGTTCTACAATGTTCCATGGAAAAGAATTTTCTTGGGAAATATGCTAGGAGAGACCATAGGAGCGCCCTCCTAGAGAGGAGGCAGGGTTAGTCTTCAGGGTTGGAGACTGTGATACATTTTTATTTGGATTCAAAATACAAAGAGTACAACTACAAAGTTGCTGTAGTAACTCCAGGCAGTGGTGGCGCACACCTTTGATCCCAGCACTAGGGAGGCAGAGGCAGAGGCAGGTGGATCTAGGCCAGCTTGGTCTACAGAGTGAGTTCTAGGACAGCCAGGGTTACACAGAGAAACTCTGTCAACAACAACAACAACCTCACAAAACTTTGTCTCGCTCCTTTGAGGCTTTAAGTTAAAATAACCAAAGGTCAAATGAATGTAAACATTCCTGTGCCTTTGATTTGCTGGTACCTAAAATCTATGTGTAGAGAGAGGGGCAGCGTATGCAGAGGCTAGGAACAAGTCCCTCCTCGGCCCCCCTCCAGCCATGGGATGCCAGCATTGCTTCCCTCAGGTTCTTCACTGTGATATGGAGATGGCGCTCAGCTGCAAATCTGACATGAGGATAAATGGAATGCACGTGGACCAGGCCCCGTTCCGAGTGTAGTTATCCATGTCCATGTTGGTCAGCTGTAATGGTGTTTACAGGCTGCCCGCCAGGGGCACAGTGAACGACAGAGCAGCGGGGGTTCTGGTAATTCCTGCAGCTCAAGACCTATTTAAATCCCTTTGACCCCGAATCTTCTCTGCACCCCCTTTTTTCAGTCCTTAGAGAGTTTGGATTCCTTGATGACTTGAGACTTCTCCAGAGGCCCTTTAGAAAGTCTCTGGCCAGTGGTGCCCCAAACCCAAAGGCCTGCCAGGGGTCCTCACACAGAAGTAGCCGGTTCTATTGCTGCTCAGTTCCAGCTGAGACTAAATCTCTTGCCCACATCACCAGGGCACACTCTAGGCCATGCCTTTCTCCAAGCCCTTCTCCAGTCCCAGCTTGGTGCTCACCCTGGACTCCTGATTGAAGGAAGCAGATGAAGGCGCAAACACGGTGAAGGGGCCGGGTCCAGCCAGCTCTCGGACAGCATGCTCCTGCAGGAAGACAGGTGGGGCCACATGTCACTCTTTCGCAGACAAACTTAGCGACTTCCTCTCTCGTGGACACAGGCCGAGGCTCAAAGACATGTCAGAGTCAGTGTTTTTGTCTCAAAGTAAACCTGGATTCCATGCCATCAAAATCATATTTTTTTCTAATTGTAAAATTAACGTGTGACTGTCAGATAAACAATTCTGGAAACAGAGTAGCTAGAAGGTGACAACTCCCCCATAACCCCCGTCAAAGATGGCTCCTGCTTCTCCTCTCCATGTGACGGTTACACGACGCTGTGATAATCCCAGGACTGCTAACCAAGATGACTCATTTAACCGGCTGGCTGTCTTCTTGTCACCCAGGATTGTAGGGCTGCTGTGGTGTTTGCTTCCGGCTCCTCACGCCTTCCTTTTCAGTGCACCTGGGAGCTATGCGGATGGTTCCCAGAGGGTCAGCATGCTCTTACTGACCATTCGTGCCACTGAGAGAGTTAACTGTGACTGTCCACTTTTGGGTTAAGGAGTCCCCAGGTGACCGAGAAGCGCACTTCTGGGTGTACCTGAGAGGCTGTTTTCACAGACAGGGGAGACTCTGGGGTCTGACCTAAAGGAAGGGTTACTTCCTCCAGGGATCCGTGACATGCTGGAGGGGAAGGATGGGAGGTGGCGATGGACTGAGCAGAGGGCTGTATCTGCCCTGCTCTGCCGGGATGGGTCTGCCTAGCCTGTGTGCTCTACCTCTTGTCTACCAAGACCAGGGTCCTTCACCACATGGTCCTGACACTATGATGTTCTGACTCACAACGACCCGGAAACATGGAGCCTTGCAAAAGCTTTCCTCCCCCGGTTGTTTCTGTCAGGTCTGACAGCTATGGACGGGTAACTCGCACACCCAATGTCTCTTTCTCTGCTGTGAAAGACATTTCATACACAGTCACTGTCACCTAACGATGGGATATGTTCTGAGAAACATGTCCCTAGGCCACGATGCTATTGTGTGAACAACCCACTCCTCAGCGACTCACACAGAGCAAGCCCCCCTTGTGGTGAGAGGCCTAGATGACGTTCCTTAATTTCCCTGTTGTATTTTTACTGTGTCCTTTCTACGTTTAGATGTGAGGAGAGCTGCAAATGTTAACAGCTGTGTGACTGACTGTACCTACGGCAGAGTTGACCAATGGCCAACAACTGTTCATGGCTGTGTGACTGACTGTACCTACGGCAGAGTTGACCAATGGCCAACAGCTGGGATGCTGCCATAAATCCTAGTTCTGGACTGTCTTCTGCCCTCCGTGACTTCAGAGGCTACAGCTTTATCTTATGTCTTGCTGGAGACCTGGTATGTTGATATTTGTATGCACACATGTGCATACACATATATGTAGTTCAATAAAAGCACACATACACGGAGATTTACATGCACACATATTCTAGAGGTGGACCTTGAATGCAGGCCTGGCACATGCCTCAGTAGACAGACAGTTCTTACCTGCAACTGGAAAAAATACTGCGACGTTGTTGGGTTCTTAGGAAGTTCCTGCAAACGGGGACAGGGAGCTGTCACTCCAGCTGTGACTCACAACAAGAATATAGGGCTGTATGGGACAATCTGTCCAATGGACAGCTCCCTGAGGGTGACCAAGGGACACACTGAGTCCCAGCTCCTTTCTGGAATCTTATCTGATTTACAAAACTGTACAGGCCTATCAAATGGAACTCAAATCTTTACAAAACATACCAAATATAGTTGAAATCTTGTAAAGGCCAGTTATTATTTATGGCAGAAGTGGCCTCCCTGGCAACAAGAATGTTTGACCAATCAGAAAGCTCTGGCCCCTCTTTAAAAATTTTATATCTTTATAATATGTAGAAACCAGAAAGTATCACACCGCCTCTTCCTCTCTCTGCAGTATAGGCAGATGAGGACAAATGACATGTGTGCATGTGTGTACCCACCACCACAGCTATATCACATACACTCCCATATACCTCACATGCACATAAACACATACCCATACACCCATGCATGCCACACAACACCACACATATACCCATATACCCCATATGCCACATACATGTACATACATACATATATAAATACTTCATACAATCACACCGACCACATGCATACCACAAACACACCACACACGTATACTCCAAATGCCACACCCCATAATTCATATCCCCTCATACATCCCAGAAACCATACACACATATACACACACAAGACACTCCATGAACATACATTCCATAACCCTACACATACACATCATCTGCCACATGCCCAGTACACATCATATATACCATACACACATACACACACACAGAAACACAATATGTCACAGATTATACCCTACCACACATTCTCCCATATATCATGCACACATACACACACCCATCATACATGACACATGCCATGTACCACAAATGCATCAGACACAACATACTCAGACATGCACACCACATTCTATACACACACATCATACACCACAAATACATCATACACAACATATACAGATATGCACACCATATCACACAGACACATCATACACCATAAATACATCATACATAACATACACAGACATGCACACCATATCACACACACATCATACACTGCAAATACATCATACACAATACACCATATGCTATACATATCACACACCACAGTTACACCATACACCACACACACAGACACATGCCATACATCACACACACACATATATTCCACGTACCAAACACACTCCATACTTCACACACACACATATACCACACACATGAAATACAAACCACTCATACCATCCACTGCATGCAAGACACATTACACCACACATATATCAATGCTACAAATGCACCACACACACACACATACATGTGCCACACATCCACACACTACACATAGTATATCACAGTCACCACATAGAGTATACACATGCCATGCCACATACCATTCATCCACACTCATGTTACATCATATACATGACACGCACAGTCACCACATTCTGTAGCCCAGATCAGATACATCATACATATTACACACATCTATTGACACACCGACCCAGAGCATAGCAATGCTCTAGCATTATTACATGCTCTGTGCTCCTGACATCCTCCACCACATTCAGTTCTGTAAGAACTGCTGTCCTTATCATTTTCTTTCCCAGATCCCGAGTGATGTGCAGGGCTACTCCCTGCAGAGCTGAGCCAAACCCAGGGGTCTCTGGCGGCCTCAATCGTGACACCACTCCCTTCCCAGGCCACAGGAGTTTCCCTGGGTAGGTTTTCCCTGGGTAGGTAAACTCTTCTCATGGCAGCCTGGACTCTCAGCCATTTGGGACATGGGGTTTACTGCTGGGAGACTTAGTGTTACCCCGTAGATGCTGCCGCGGCAGATGAATCCATCCCCCGTGTAGTTCTGCTTGCAGGTGCAAATCCTCTCATCTTGTCCAGTATGGGTACAGGTGGCAAATGGGCTGCAGCCGCCATTATTCTGGTAAAATTGCCAAGAGATGAAGGAGAGGTTCAATTAGACCAATAAATTTACCAACTTTGTTAATATTTGCTAAGAAATTTTGTGATGGAATTTATATTTTGAGGGTTGTGGGTAGAATACTAGTCTGGTATGTGCAAAGAGCTGAGATCAATCCCTAACAAAACACACACACACACACACACACACACACACACACACACACACACACA